TGATAAGGGAAGAGGAAGGAGAGGAGGGAAGGAAGAAAGAGGTAAGGAGAAGGTGGAAGGGAGAGAAAGAGAGAGGGTAGGAAGGGGAAGAGGAAGAGGAGGAGTAGGGCAGTGATAAGGGAAGAAGGAAGAGGAAGGAGAGGAGGGAAGGAAGAAAGAGGTAAGGAGAAGGTGGAAGGGAGAGAAAGAGAGAGGGTAGGAAGGGGAAGAGGAAGAGGAGGAGTAGGGCAGTGATAAGGGAAGAAGGAAGAGGAAGGAGAGGAGGGAAGGAAGAAAGAGGTAAGGAGAAGGTGGAAGGGAGAGAAGGAGAAGGAGAGATGGTAGAAAGGGGAAGAGGAAGAGAGGAGTAGGGGAGTGATAAGGGAAGAAGGAAGAGGAAGGAGAGGAGGGAAGGAAGAAAGAGGTAAGGAGAAGGTGGAAGGGAGAGAAGGTAGGAAGGGGAAGAGGAAGAGTAGGAGTAGGAGAAAGGTAAGAGAAGAAGAAAGGGGAAGGAGAGGAGGAAGGAAGGAAGCGGAGAAGGGAGGGAGGGGGAAGAGAAAGGGAAAATAAGGTGGGGTTACAACAGGAGGAAGGGATGGTAAATAAAGCCACCCAAATTGTATATTATAACCTTTTAAATGGAATGATAAATGTATAAGAATGACCAATGTAAAGAAGAAGAATACCTATAATTGTATCTAAGAAAATAAAAAATTAAAAAAAACTTTTCAAACAAAATATCAGAATAAACTTGGGTGAGTTATGACACCGCCTGTAAATTGCAAGAAGGTATCACACACACACACACACACACACACACACACACACACACACACACACACACACCCGCCCCAAAGAAGCTTACAGGTTCGGCTGTTCTTTGTCGGCGTAGCAGAAGAGGAGGGGGCTCAGGCTGCGGGCCAACTCGTGCTCTTCAAATTGGCCGGCTGCGTCGGTCTTCGCGTTGTCTTGCCGGAAAATCAGCGGCAACCCTTCGGATGCAAATAAATAGGGGAGAAAAAGTGAGATTGAAAGAAAATAAAAATCCGTCACTAAAAACAATGGGTTGATCCTTAGGATTCAGCCTGCTCTGGAGAGACGATGATATTCAAACATCTGGAATTGGGTGGTGGGTAGGTTTAATGGAAAGAAGGACTGGAGGGGTGACATGATAGCGGGATTTTTTTTTAATATTTGAAGGGCTGCCCCAAAGAAGAGGGGGGAGTCAACTTGTTTTCCAAAGCACCCGAAGGACAAGAAGCAACGGATGGAAACTAACCAAGGAGGGAAGCAACCTGGAATTTTAAGGAGGAATTCCCTAGCAATTTAATCTGCGGAACGACTTGCTTCCAGAGGTTGCGAATGCTCCAACAACGCTGGAAGTTTTAAAGAAGAGGTTTTTTGTCTGAAATGGTTTAAGGGTCTTCCTGCCTGAGCAGGGGGTTGGACTAGAAGACCTCTGAGGTCCCTTCCAACTCTGTTATTCTATTACAACAGTTTCCATTAGTCTTTCCTGCAGTCAAAGAACGTTTTTAGATACTGCAGGATTTTTGCTTAAAACCATTTTAATTTTAGTTTCAGAGGTTGTGGGAGCCTCATCCCTGGAAGCTTTCAAGAAGAGACTGGATTGCCACCTGTCAAAAATGCGGTAGGGTCTCCTGCTTGGGTTGGACTAGATGACCTACGAGGTCCCTTCCGACTCTGTAAAAATCTGTAAATGTTTCCCTGCATTATTATTATTATTCCCCACATTATTCTGTCCCAGTAAGAGAAAATGCAACGTAACTGGAAGGATCCTGTTCCCACAAGCATCCATCCATCGAGTCCCCCCCCCAAAATTAAGATATTTTTTTCTACTTTTCCTCCCCGCGAAGTCAAAGACGATGGGAGGTTTGAGCGGATTCACCTGTTTTGTTGATGAGCCAGTAAGGAGCCGAGATGAATATCTTCAAGGAACCTTTGGCTTGGCCCACGATCCGGATGACGAGGTTCAGGAGACGCCGGTTGTTGTCGTACAGCCTCATCCGCACCACGTAGTTTTGGGTTCCCGGGGGGATCAAAAGCTCCTTGCAGTGGGTGAAGTTTTCGAGGGAGATCCCTGGAACCCAGGAGGAAGTAAGTTAATGTTCACCAACGAAGGCGGTTTATACGTGTCCCGTATAATGTTGCGGGATCCAATCTGGGTCACATTGAGTTTCGCAGCTACTAAGATTGCCGGACGGGCAGGCCCAAAAACAGCCAGAGAAGGGATTGAAAAAAAAACAAAAACAGGCCCCCTCACCAGTTGTAGGAAATAAATAAGTAACAGTTCAGGATTGCAATTACATGCGATCCTCAATTTACAAAGTAGTAAGTAAGTAAAATCTTTATTACGGTCAAAGACCAGCAATACACATTAGTTTTTACACTATATTAAAAAATTACTAGCATTAAGATATAATAAAAAAGTATTGACATTAAAAGTGGATAATAACACAATGGTCCAGAGATTGTTAGAAGTATGTCCAGATAATTGGTACTATACTTCTATAGCCAATTTTTTTTCTTATGGACATTGCAGCAGCACAGAACTTCGCCACTGCATACGTGGTAACCG